AGTGATTTTTATTCAACTTCTAAAAACCAGATCCCACTGGGAATTTAGTGCCTGACTCCAAAGCTGCTTTTGGAAATACTGGCCTTTGTCTTTGAAAATTAAAAAGAGGATGAATAAAGGAAAATATAATCTAAAATATATATATTATATATATTCTTCCATTCTTAATTATCTTGGCTATGGTTGATAACACAAATGAGACCATAAGCTTACCAAAAATATTTGCTTGGCCACCTGACAGCAGCTCTTGGATCTGTGTCCACATCTGGACTTTCTGTTGCACTGTTGCCGTTAAGAAACAAATTGGAGTGAATCTTTGTGCCAGGCTGCATGTAAGGTCTGTGCAAGCTTAACAGGGGATTTTCCACTAGGAAGCAGTAAAGGAGAAAACAACAACGTGTAAGTCGAAAGTGCTCTGGCATCAGCTGCTCACATGAAAATATACTGGAAAAAAAATCAGCTAGTCTCCATTTGGCCACATTTTGACCTTGTTGCTGTCCATGCTGCAGGTTAAAGATTTAAATGCTCATTTGTTAGGATGCAGTTTGTTAGGATTGCACACTCTGTGGTCATATGTCCGGGTCCAGGCTCCTTCCATCACTCAACATCCAAGTTAGAGCTCAGGAGCACCAGGTTGTCCTCTGGAGCTGCCTTCTTCCTTTACTGCAGATGGTGGGAACCTACAGTGTCTACAGCAGGAGCACCAAGGTTGAGACATAGTAGGGAACCAGGAGAGATCTGAGCATCATACATATGAAATCATTTTTCTAGTGTCCCTGGCTCAAGACGAAAGGGATATGACATGATTTGATATATGTTATGATATGATATATCTGTGATGGCAGAGTCCTGAAGATACAGACAAATGTGGCAAAATTCTTCAGCCTCTTAAAATCAGCAAGCATTTTCCACAAGTTTCAGAGGAAGCCAAGACCCTCTGCAAGATTCAGGAACTTTTCTTCAGCATTGGCAATGCCATGGAATTTAAATGGGAACACAGCCATTTTCTCAACTGTAGCTCATTCGCAGAATAAGTTAATTCTTCTTGATGCTGAATGAAGAGGATTGCCAAAGCTTCCTGACTGATCCCATTTTTGGCTTGGTTGGACACCTCTTTGTAGATGAAGCCCTTTGGATAAGCCCTTAATTCTGAGGACAGAAATGTGAAACTCCAGGTCAGGATGGGCAGCGTGTTTGTGTTCAGCAGCTGGGCTGCAGGAGGAAGCAGAGGTGAGCAGCCCCACTTCTGCTGAGTTCATGGCTTTGTGGCAGTGTAAGGTGACCTGCTTCATGAAATTCTGCTGAACGTGTCCAGCTGTGGCAGAAAACCCCATATTCCCATTGCAGGTTTAAAAATCCAAACCATTAAAACCACTGAGCTGGTGGAGCTTGTTCTGCATCCCCATGGACAGTGAGCAGAGCTCCTGTGTCAGGGTGGAAACCGCTCTGTTGCTGAAGATTCTGGAGGAACAGATCCAGTAATGCCCGTACATCCAGTTCTTCATGACTTCTATGCTTTTCAGTATGGAAAACACCCTAAGGAAAGGTAAAAGAGCAGGGTGCCCGTGGCAGGACAGCAATCAAGGCCTGTTTTTTATCCATGGTATTTGATGTCACTGTTTCTCCCTTTTTCTTTTTTAGGAAAACAGTGACAGGCCAGGGGGAAATGTTTTTCAAACATAGTTTGCTAGTCCTCAGGTGAATCACAAAATCATAAAGCTATAAGGGCTCTCAGGAGCACTGGTCAGCCTTTAGCATCTGTGCAACAGAAAAGCAATAAAAAAAAATCTGAAAAGACAGCCCTTGATAACCCAGAAGATGATTGCGAGTGTGTCACATCACAGAAGTGGCTAAGTGGGAAGAGAACTGATGCAAAACACTGTTATACACATGAAATATGGCAATGTGGAGTTTCCCCTTTAACTGCATGCGACTCTGATACCTGCCTGGCCAGCTGAGTTGTGGAAGGATGGGTTTTCGATGCGGTGTGTGAGGGTTGCACAGGCAGAGCCCTTTCACCCGTCACAGCGGGTATAATTGTGCCTCCCTCCGAACGGCGCGGAGAACAGTCCTTCGCAGGGTCTGCGTGTGGTGCTGATGGGGGATTTTCCTGGGTTGCGAGCAATTCCCCACAGAGCTGAGGCTTTCACTGTGCTTTAGGAAATGGCAGAGCATGAGTCAGGTTTAGGACTGGGAGAAGGAAAACAGAAAATGTTTTAGACTGTTTGTCCCTCCAAATCCCAGGGAGCAGGGGGTTACTGAGGTAAAAAGCAGAGTTTTGAGCCTTCATTTCATGTTGCGTGTATACAGACTGCCCTGTGTGAAGTGCAGGAACAGCCTGGACCAAAGCAGATGTCAAGCATCACGTCAGCTGGGATTGTGAGATTACAGCAAAGTCTGAGCACAATGCTATTCACAGAGTCACAGAATTATTGAGATTTCTAATTCTAAAACGACATTCTTGCAGTTCAACTGCAGTAAGGTGGGTAGAGGGAGGTAAGGCAGGTTCATATGTAGAGATGGGCCCTCAGGACACTGCCTGTGCACATGCCTTGGAGGAAGGATCTGGCAGGGGTGTTGCTCTGAAGCTGATGATCTGTCAGCCTTGCAGGCCTGATGCCCATGTGCCAGGAGCATCACATGCAAGGTCTGATCCAGTTCCTGCTAGTGAGGAAACTTTCTGAGATTATAACAGGCTCTGGGTTAAACCTCTGCCCTGCACTGAGCTCCCGCGGAGGTCTGGGTCCTGGTTTTACCAAACTGGCTGAATCAGCCCACACTGGTCACTATGGACCAGATTAGCCGTGGCACTGGTTATCCAGCCACCATCCAGTGCTGACCCCCAGTCTTACACAGCCCTTACCTGCTGACTGAGCTCAGGTGGGATTTTGTGGAGGGAACATGACCAATGTGAAAAATAAAACAGAAGCCAATGCCAAAAGCCAAGTGTTGAGATTTTAGCGCCTGTTTTACTGCCCTTGAACAACCCAGGGGAATCCTTGCTTGTGTTTTGCCTGCCAGAGCTGCTGTCTGTTGCCAATTTGAATGAGCTCAGTGTTGTCTGCTCTTTCATTGAACATACCTGTGCTTTTCTCTTTTCTCTTTATTTGAGGATTGAGTCTGATATACGGTCTGTGCCTAACTCGGAGCTGCTTGCGTTTTTAACATGAGAGAAACCGAGTGCATGCTTGAGACTGATTTCTTGAACTCTTTGATGGGATTGGTGGAATGCGATGCTAATGGCCCCAAATCTGAGCTGGCATTTAAATGAAATAAGAGATCCAACAAGCCCCCCAAATTCAGCATGAGCTCTGTAGCCAAATGAGCAAGAAACGTGGGTCAGTTTAATATGACTGGGTGTCTTCTAGTAAAATGATAATACAAGGGAAAGACTATTTTTGCTCATCTTTACCGACGAGAGCTCCTTGTTATTGTATTTTCCACTCCACTGCTTGAAAGTTTAAAGTGGGATGCTTTCTTTCCTTAGCTAACTCAGTCAAATAAATGGCTGTGATCAGAGATTCACAAAGAAGTGAATTGGAATCAGTATGGAAAGGGGGGATATTTTTCATCTCCTTAAAACAGGAGGGCAAGAGGGATCTGGCTTTTGCATGTTTTGTTTTGGAAAGAACCCTCTCTAGATTAGCTCATTGGGGCAAGAAACCTCTTTTCCCTGAAGGAAAGAGAAAAAATGGGGTGCTGGGTGGGGAGAATCATAGAAACCAAAAGGAAATCAGAATCTGTCTTCAGCAGTTCTTTGATCCACCCACGAAAGCATATTTAACAATAATTTTAAAAAATCAGCAGGTTCCTAAGGCACCTCCCTGCTGCTGAGCGCTCGACCTCCCCAGTTGATTTGCTACCACAGATCCATCTGCCAAATGGTCTTGCCGGTGCCGTTTCTCCTTGGCAAGCCTGTCCAGTCACGTTGTATAAACATTTAAAATCTCTGGCTTAGAAAACATCCTCATTCTTTCAAGGATGTTTTAATCTTCACTGGACAATGCCTTTCTTTGTGATGGTAGAGGCTATAGATGCAGTCCCTCGCAGCTGTCTTGGCTTGACTGCAATTCATTGTAGAAAGCGACCTGACCAAGACTTCTAAACCACCTCATTCTTTACAAACTGATGATACGGCACCACTACCTCTCCCCAAGCCTTTATGGGGAGGAAAATCTGCCTTACTCAAAGAAAACCAGACCTCCATGGACAGCGTGAAAGGGCCTTTTCCTTTTCTATCACTGACCCAGTAGCAGAGGGGAGGGCTCTTGTGGAGAGGGATTTTCTCATACTTTGCTGCATGTGGAGTGATCTGCACTGACGAATGTTTCTTTTGGAAGGTTTTCTGGTGGCCGATTTGCTGCTTAGATCGTGAAGCTGGTAATTTTAATTTCTTTTTTGCGGGCTGTGGTTTCTAATCGCGTTAATTGCTGAAGGACACAAACCCTTTACTTTCCGCAGGACAACTTCATCAACCTCAGCTTCCTGCGGCTCTTCAGGGCAGCGAGACTCATCAAGCTCCTTCGCCAGGGCTACACAATCCGCATCTTGCTCTGGACCTTTGTGCAGTCTTTTAAGGTGAGTTTTAGGGGGTGGGAGGTTGGAAAGAGACGTGGGGAGATGGCAACGCTTGGTGCTTCTGTAGCATCGTCCATTGAGTATCCAAGAGATTCCCCCTGCCAAGGGAATGGCCTCTGTGAGCCACTACAAAACCATTACAGGAACATTAATTCTGCAGAATTAACTGATTTGCTTTGAGTACCCCCTGAACACTGCAGGCATTGAGAATTTTGGAAGATGAGTCTGAAAGCCGGACTGATGCAGGCTCGAAGCAAGCGTGCAAAGCCCAGGTTGCCCTTGAAACCACCACAAAATCCCTGTGGCAAAGTCTCGAGACTTGAAAATAAGGAAACAGCAGTCTGGCCAATAAGTGCCTTCACACCTGCTGCCTGCCTGCAGCGAGTGCAAGGTTGAATTGCTTTCACCAGGTTTCAGTCTTGGTAAAATCTGAGAGAAGCAAAACCTAAACCATTGCATTTGGGTGATATGAACTGTGAAGCTGCATAACACAGGGCTGTGGTTTTCTGGAGAATTATGAAAGCCATTTTTTGTTCTAAAGTTGAAACTCTTGACCTCCTGGTTGTGGAGATCTCGTAGTACATTCAGAAAAAAATTAAGCAGAGAGGTGATGTGGGAAAGCCAAGCACAACAAGATGGATCTGTTTGTCAGCTCACAGCCAGTGAACTTCACCTGCCCATGGTGGGTTGGTGAGCCTGGGGATCATACCTCTGACTTCGCACAGGCTCTCACCTTCTTCTGGGCTGGCCTCTGCGGTCTGCAGGTCATAGCCTATGTCCTGAGTGCTGTCATGAGCCCTGGCAATCCTGGCTACAGGTTGGTGCCTTGTCTGGGTATTTGCATGGTGCTTTCTGGAAGGTGTTATGATGGCAACTGGTATTTAATGGCATAGAGCGTGGTAGGATGCAGTGACCATTTTCTGTTGGTCTAGCTGCATTTTCAAATACACCATGATGTCTGATTCAACACAGAGGTTATTTTAGGTCTCTTGTTGGCTGGAGAGAACTGGGATAGTAGGCTGGGTTTAGCATGGCATGAACGTGGCTATTGCTCTGCACTGGAGCTGCTCAGGAGGGAAGTTTTTGTGAGATCTTCCAGACATTGGAGGTGATTTTCTGAAGGGTGTAGATGGAAACATAGTGATGGCATCTTTCTACCAGCAACTTGGAGAAGAACTGCAGGTGTCCATGCTGTTACCCCGTGGGCAGGGATGGGGAACAGTGTCTTATTGTACCCTTTGGGAGACACCGGACAGGCAGCTGGTGCTCTCGCCTTCAACTCCTGCATCAAGCAGCTCATGGGAAAGGACTGTGTTTGGAGTGCTGTAGTGCCTTGGATTTGTTAGGTTGTGTTTTCCTGGAGGTGACATTGCTGCCGCTCTCACCTCATAACTCCTGAGGAGTCCTGCAGCTGGGAGCACCTCTACCAGAGCCTGAGATGTGGACTCTGGGGTGTAAGATGTTCCCAATCAGAGGGTTGTCCTTGGACTTTGTAGTTTTGACGGGATCTTGGGAAAGGGACTCACTGGGCACCCTTTTTGGTATAACCCTGACCATTTCCAATGCGTGCGTGCAGAGTGCTCCCCTGATGTGGAGCTGGGACGGTTCTTGAGCTGTATGAGCTCCTCGGTCACCTTTCCCCATCCTTGGGCTCTCAATCCTTGTCTCTTGTGCAAAGGACTCCAGCAGAAACCACACCAGTCCTTTGCCCCATGATTCCTACTGGGCTCCCAAAGGCACCCATGGGCTGCATTAACCCTCTCCTGCCCCAGCAACATATGGCTTAGCATCTCATTCTTCAGCTATTACTAATTAAGAGGCATTAATTACCCCTTCATTTAGCCTGAATGGAAAGCTGCTATTACTCCCAGTTTGAATGACATAATTACATTGTAGCCTTCACTGATTTCTCGCTAAAACTCAGAATCTTTTTGTCCTCCTGGGATTGCAATCTGTGCCTGCTTCAGAGCTGGTGCTTGTTTCTTGGATATGTATTTTTTTTCTCATTCTAAATTTACAGCAAGGTCATTAAAAATTAAAGTTAGTACAATTATGCATAGAAAGCGCCAGTGCCTGCCGGCAGCTCCACTGCTTGCTGTGGAGCTTCTTATTGTGTTTTCCCTGCTTACTGCTTATCTGCTTGCAGGGATGTATAGCAAGCCCTTGGAAAGCCCAGACTGTTTGGTGATCAATTAATACCTGGTTCATCTAAAGGTTACCAGAACTGTTCATGTTCTTTTCCCAGTTCCTTCATTTGAAAGAAAAATGCCACAAAACACAGGAATTAAATGCTACTGGCTGACTATGCATTTGCTGTCATTAATACTGCCTTCTCCTTTTCCACAGGCCTTGCCTTACGTGTGTCTCCTCATTGCAATGCTCTTCTTCATCTATGCCATTATTGGCATGCAGGTAAAATTTTAGCTTTAATACTGACTGTAAGTAGCCTGGTTTTGTCCCACTGGTTCAGTGGGTTATTGCCTGTGCACAGGGTCAGAGCTTGAATAAGAATGTGGCAAAAATCCAGTGTCAGGTAAATTAGAAACGTGAAAAATGCCACTTTTTCTACCCTTGTTGCCAGGTCTTGTGTCAAATGTGGCCCTGGGTCTACAGACATTTGTGGGTGCACAAAGGGAGAGGGTGGGGTGGGAAGGCCGGGAGCAGCTCAAGTGCTGCACCTTTCTCAAAATAAATGGGAAAGTTTTCTTGGCCTGGCGTGGAGCTGAGCCATGGCATTGGAAAGGGTCTGTGTGAGGACAAAGCACATTAACCTGTTTTTTTTTCCCCCATTTAATCTCCACAACACATTTTTATCCCCCTCTTCAGCATAGAAATTATGCTAGCTTTTACGATCCCTTAAACCAAGACAAATTATTTTCCTACCTTTTCTCCCCCTGATCCCCATTCATTGACTATGCCCACGTGAGGCTGTGTTTGGCCTGAATTGCCGCTGTTTCCCATGGCAGGTATTTGGGAACATTGCGCTGGATGATGAGACCTCCATTAATCGGCACAATAACTTCCGCACCTTCCTCCAAGCCCTGATGCTTCTGTTCAGGTAACAGAGAATAAAATACAATACAGCTTGCATGTGAGCAATAAATAAGTGTTCGGTTTTGCATGTGCTGATTTAGCTGCTGGGACTTAGGCATCCTTTAAGTAATTTGGGGTAAAGCATCCACTCCTGCTTCCTCCTCCTGGCATTGGGGGCTGGCCTGGCAAGTCCTTGATTATAACAAATCTGATTCAATACACCAGCATCCCCACAAAGTGACACGCAGCGCTGTGACACCCAATGTCAACCCAGGCAGAAGCTTAATACAAGACAGAAACCCCCTGGTTTAACTCATCAATGTGGTTCCTGTCATGAAGCTTACTTTTTTTTTTAAGTGAGAATTCCCTTGACAGGTCATTTTTGCATTACCAATAACTTAACACTTCATACTTCAATGCCATCTCTGCTTCAGAGTGGAAGTGTTTCCATCTGGATTCATGCTGCCTGGACACAAAACATTTCCAAATTTAAAAAATAAATAAATTACAGATTTTCATTTTCAGACCCAGCCAAAAATGAAGTGCAGGCCCCACTTCAAACTAGGGCAGCTTGGGGAATATTTCACTGATCCAGCCGCGTGCTGTGTGGTTGGGGATGCCGCCATTAATGATGGCTGTGGCCCCATGAACGCCCCACAGCAGCGCCAGTGCTCGGCTCTGCGGATTATGCGATGCTTGTAACTGGATATCTCGCCTGGGATTTGGTTTGCATAACTGCTGTGAAGCCAGACGGAAATGAAATCAGCCCTCTCTAGCTCAGAATAGGCACTTGACTCAAAACTCCGAATTTAAATAAAACTTGAGATCTTGATCCCTTTCCAGAGCCAGGTGGGACCCATGATGGGGCAGACAGGCTGTGCACAAGGGAATGGGGCTCCAGAATTTGGTGCCACTGGAGGGGAATCTGCTGTGTAATTTGGAGTAGCCTGGAAGATATTCAGTTCAAACTGAGCACCAAGATTTCTCAGAGAGGAGAAGGAAGACTCTAGGTCCCAGTTGGCACAGCTGTGAGCACAAGTGGTACAGGAGGGGCTGATGGTGGTGCTGTGGAGGGACATCTCTGACAGCTCCTCTGACTGTGGGGCACAAATTGCAGAAGGAAAATCTGAGGTTATGCAGGAAATCAGAGCTAAGCGAGCATGAGGATCTCCTGACTTCCAACCCCTGTGTGCACACTGCAGGGGTGATTTATCTGGAGGACAGACCCTCTGGGACTCTGAAGTTTTCCCTTTTGGCTGGTTTTCTCCCTGTAGTTGTACTAGAGGTATAGTTTAGCTAGAGGTTAAAGGGGGAGAAGGGAAATTATGAAGAAACCCAGGAGACTGTCATGAAAAAGGAACCTAAGTCACTATAACCAACCAAACCATCCTGGTGCTTCTGTACCTGCCTGATAAAGGAAATAAGTGGAAAAGCCTGGTTTCCTTTCCCTTCATCTCCATTGGGTTTACAGCCAGCAACAGGACGGAAATGTTAGCTGCTTCTAAAGGGACAATCGAAACTCTGATTATTACATTTGTACTTTGCAATGGCCATGTTTAAATAAATCTGGTTTTATTCTCTGTAGAAGCTCAGCCTACCTGGGCCTGTCCAGTTCCTTTTTCCACAGAAGTCACAGAGGGAAATGTTCTTTCTCCTTTCTTTTTCATGTCAGCAGGCTGGTAGCTCCAGTTCCTAATTTAAACATAGTCTCTCTGCCTGAACACAACTGTCCACTTATTTAATTTATTTAATTGGATGCAGTAATTGGGTCTGTGATGGGGGGAATGGCTAGGCTCACCTCTGCCCTCACCATCCACAGGAGTGCCACGGGGGAGGCCTGGCACGAGATCATGTTGTCCTGCCTCAGCAACAGGGCCTGCGACCCACTCTCCGGCCTCACCAAAAACGAATGCGGCAGCGATTTTGCCTATTTCTACTTTGTGTCCTTCATCTTCCTCTGCTCCTTCCTGGTAAGTCCACCCTGGTCTCTCCCAAAGTGGAGGTGCCAGTGGAGATTCCTCCCACCCCGTTCTTCCTTCCCAACCCCCCTGCTTCCTCCTTCTCATTAATTATGATTTTATACAGCATTGTAAGACAGCTTCACTGAAAACAGTTTACCATCCTGGTGATAAAATCCCTTTAATCCCCAAAGGGATCATTTAATCATTAGTTTAAAGGGAAGGTTTTTCTCTTTCTTCCCATCAGGGGGTCTAATATTTTGGAATTAAGCCTTAATCTGTTTTGTCTTGATTTGTAATGTGAGCCTTTGAAGAAGGAGACTGGGGAGAGCAGGGTGAGAATAGCCAAAATACCATTGGTTCAGAAGCTCTTGCAGCTGGGAGCATCACGCTTACTTGATGCCTTGTGTTTTGTTTTGTTAGTCAAATAAATGTCATCATTTTTGTCTACAATGGTGCAGGGAAAACTCTAGACATGAAAGTACACTGAGCTGATGCACATGATATGTGCCCGTGGCCATCATTCAGGGCTGGGGCTAAGCTTCAGTAGGTGCCGGTGTCTTTCTGATAGCTTGTGAGCATAAAAAGCTCTGCTCCAGGGGCTCAGTTCACTTCCCTGCACTGCTGGGACCGAGGAACGGAAAACCAGGGACAGGGACCCAATTAAACTTCAAGCAGGAAGAGATGAAAGTCGCAGCTCTGCCATGTACCAAATAGCAACGTATCAAGCCTACATTCAGGTCCATGGGTTTGCTTTAAAATATACTATTTAATGTTTTGTGCAGCTAATCCCTGTTATCATCAGAAACCTTTACCTGGGCAAGAGGTACGAGTGCCAGTTTGATGCTGGGTACAGAGAGACCAACATCCGTGGTCTCTACTGAGGTCCTTTGTCTGACTGCTGTTGCTCCTTGGACATCCTGTGGTTTACTTTTTCTGCACATACTAAAAAAGGTGGAGCCCTGCAAGTTTATACAAAGTTAATGCTCCATTTACTCATTCCTTCAGCACTCTGTATTTTAAAGCCAAAATTTTCCTTGTACAAATCCCTAACCTAACATCAGACATCCTCATCATTATCTTCAAGGGAAGTGCTTTTCCTAAAGCTTTTTCTTAAAAAAAAAAAATTGACAGACAAACAAACACCATCCCCCAGACTCACCCTCCCTGACTCCTATCAGCCATCCCACTTGAAGTGCAGTAGCGGAGTAGGAAGCTGGAGCACGTCTCTGCCAAACACAGCTTTGCATGAGCTTTGCCCCTGAGTTGGTGCTCTTGGAAAACCCAGTGAAACCACAGCCCGGGCTTGCGGGGAGAGCCCTGGCCAGGAGCAAAGGCAGGGAGGGCAGCCTCCAAAAATGGGGAGCAGAAAGCCAAGCAGCTGGACTGGGACAGGGCTGTAACTCATTTTTTAAAATGTGTTCAGCACTTCATTGCAGTGAAATGTGTGGTTCCCCACAAGCGATTAAATCATTACAGGGCTACTGCCTTGCCAGGCGCGTATGTTTTTATGGTTTATTCCATGTCGTTATACCACAGATTGGAGGGGGAGTTGGATAACTTATTTGGTTTTAAATATTATTTCTGGATGTCCAGAGTGACATAGTTTTTCTCCTGTAATTGATACTCTAGAAAAATATGAAGTGAAATATAAAAATATACAAGAAGTTCAGAAACAGCTGTATGCAAGCAAGGGAAAACTGTACCAAGCCATGGCTGGAGCTGGGACAGTGCAAAGGAGTTTGGGCTCGAGGGGCAAACTCAGAGAACTGCTGGTGTCCTTGATGCTCTGGGGGGATTGTGTTAGTTATGGGGTACCCGCAGCCTTGCTGACGTGGTTACAGAGCTTCCAGTCTTGGAGCAGCTCATTAAGAGCTAGGTTGGACATCCTGGTCCAGCACTGCATGAGGCACCACAATGAGACCTCAGGGCTTGTCTGGGCCTTGTTGCACCTTGCAAGCATCCGGGAACCTGCATGACACGGAGACTGGTTTGGCTCCCCAAACTCAGCAGAGCTGTTTGGTGCAGTGTTCGAGCTGACAGGTCTCACTGCTCAGCCACAAGAGGCAGAAGCCTGATTTGCATCTGGCGTGTGCTCAGCTGCGTGCTCTATGGCTTGGCCTGAAGAAGCCCCTTGGGTGGTGTAAGACACCACAGTGCTATATGGTGGAACACTGATAAATAGGGGCTGAGTTCTGCTCCCAGCTTTCTGTTGGGGTGAGTTCTGAAAAATAGATGGACTGAAGGTCTGGGGAGTCCCAGATGAGCATTTGGTGGTGATATGGTGATTCATTATGGCCTGTGCTTGCTTATACTGGTGGCTCGTGTGTCCCGGGAAGACCCAAGACCTCCTCCTTCCTCCAGCTCACACTGGAGGGTGAATTCTTTAAAACTGCACAAAACCCAGACTCCACCGCCTGATTTTCCTTTAACCACCAGCAGATGAGACAGGCACAGCCATATCCCCTTTGATTTGCTCATCTCTGTGCAAGAGCTTCACAGTCCTGGCTCAGCATGGTGCAGAGGAGCAACACCCAGAGCAGCAGCAGCTCGGCCTCCCTAAAAAAGACACAACAAGGGTAGAAAGGGGTCTTGTGCCACTCAGGCCTTCATCCAGCACAGGAGCACCCATTCATCATGCCCTCCCACTCGTCCGTTCTGCTGGCTGTGGCTTGATCTCTCCCTGTTGAAATCCTCGTGCCGTTGACTGTAATACAAGGAGAATCTTCAAATCACAGAAGCGATTGCGGTGGCAGCCACCATTAGGGACAGGAGCCTTTGGTGTGTCCTGCTCCTCATCTTTCTGGGGATCCTTGAAGGTTTGAATTATTATGAGTTTAAAACAGGATATTCAGGCTGAAGAATGGTGTTTCTTCTGACTGTTCTTGTCTTGATACGAAAGTGCTGGAAGAGTTCAGGGTGTACTGGTGTGTGCTGGCATAGGGTGAAGAAGGGACAAGGCAGAGGTGCTGTAGGGCATCACCAGTGATGGGGACGTGGCCAAGCTGTCTGTGGTTAAAAGCTGTGGCAAACCTGCTGTGTCCTGCAGAGCTGGCAGTGGCGTGCAGGAGAGGTGGTAGCAGTGTCCTCAGGGCTCCGTTTGTAGAGCTCATTTTCTGGGATACAGCTGCTTCTTGTAGAAACCACACACTCTGCTAAGGGAATCCAATCTCTCCCGTTCCAGCTTCCCTTTCCCTCCCCTCTAACTGCATTACTGCTTCCTCTCTGCAGATGTTAAACCTGTTTGTGGCTGTGATTATGGACAATTTTGAATACTTGACAAGAGACTCCTCCATCCTCGGGCCTCACCATTTGGATGAGTTTGTTCGTGTCTGGGCTGAATATGACCCAGCTGCCTGGTATGTACACTGCTACACTTAAATGTGGAGAAAAGGATGTACATTGTGTTATAAATACCATGCCTATAAATGAAAACAGCCTGTTATAATGGGAGTGCAGCTCCAGAGGAAAAACAACGCCAAAACTTGAGGTAACATTGATAGTAAGTGCTCCGGCTTCAATTTTCTGTGCCCTGGAGATGGACAAACTCAATGGCATTACAAAAGCATTTCCTTTAACAAGAATGCAAGACAGACATCAACCAACAAACTGAGAAAGCAAAATACACCCTCCTCCCCTCTGCCACATGGCCAAAAATTCATAGGGTAAATTCAAATTATCTTGGCTAAGTGACCAACTAGAAAAGCTGCTTAGCATTTCCAAAAGGAGCTTTGATTGCCTTTGGTTTCTGTATCCCAGTTTAAAGATAAAAATATGCTGAATCTCATGCCATTGGCAGCACTTTTGGTAACTGGGGCAGCTGAGCCTTGTTACATCTCATTTGTGCAGCATTTCTCTCCCTGAGAGCCACTGTAACCATTTCACAAATCCTGTGCAGAGATCCAAGTAAAATCAACTTTGTAAGGTGCTATCTCTCCCTTAAAAGGAGTTGATCTACCCCAGTGCCTTGCATTTGAGTTGTGCTGTGGGCTTAGCCTTTATCGTGTGCTTTCCAGCCCCGTGAGGCAGCAGGGAGTGACGTGGTGCTCCTCACTGTGAGGGTGGGTTGCTGAAAACATGGGATTTTTAAAGAAACATTTCTCATCATACCCAGAGTTCTGATCTTGGAAGCCTCCTTCTAACGACATCAAATTGTAGAGTGGAATTCTGTTCTTCTACATAATATTTTAGCTTTTGGACTTGCAGCTGAAACATAAGCCCTGCAAAGTAATGAGAAGAAAATGTAATAAGCCTGCTTTGGAAGCATTTCAGTTCTCAGTGAGCCTCTGATAAAATATTTCTGATGTATGAGTGTGTTAAAGGAGGAAATGGCTTTCTCGCAGGCAGGCAGAGGGTGAGGCCTTTGGCTTTATCTCTTTGGTTTTTCTTATTTGAAGACCCTGGCAGGGAACACTGCACACCTGGACTCGAGCATTGGGGCAGCAGAGGAGCGGCACCGCGTGGGGCACAGCCAGGAGCCACTGCTGGAGTGTTTCAAGGAATTTTTTAAAAATTAAGGAATGGCTCTGACCAGTAATTGCTTCTATAGCAAGGCTGACTTTAATACATTGCTTTTTTCCATTGCCCAGAGAAGCTACAGCACAGCAGTCTGGGTGACACTGTTATTTCTAGGTGCTCAGGTGACAGTATACATATTTCCTTGATACTCTGCAGGCTGGAAATTTGCCTGTTGGGAGACCTTTTTTTATTTAAAGCCCTACTGCTTTTGTATCCATTTTTCTCCTCATGAGTTACTCTGCAATGAATCTCCTTTGTATTTGTAATGAAGCTGCCTCCAGCCCCTCCAATCTTTCACTCTGCTTCGTTTCCCTTCAGCAGGGACAGATGCAGAAAGTGTTTCTATAATCAGCATCTCAAACTCCCTGCTAGGACACAATTAAACTGCATTAAAAACTCAGTTAAATTGATTTAGGCTGACTTGAAATGCAAACCTTTTCCAAAATGACTGCATTTCTCTGAAGTGTGTGTGAGTTTAACTAGCTCAAAACTATGCGTACGGTGAGCCTGCACCTATACTGCACGCATACTAGCAGCCTGTAATCTCCAAGCAGATTTTCACTACCACGTGCTCTGTAACACAGAAGAGTCCTTTGTGGGTATTTGGCAGGCAGTAAATAGCTTTTTTTCTTTTTTTCAAATCCAGCCCTATCTCTTACCACTAGAAAATCTCAGTCAGACTGGAAACTTGGGAGTGCCCGTGCTCTCCTTAAAAAATAGTCTTGGCTCCGATTAGCATCCGTGGGAGGAGTAACACACCTGCAAGGGAAACAAACGGTATCAATGCACTTTTTAAATGTTTATGTGTTCAGGAACTTTCCACCCATAAGAGGCACAGCATTAGGTTTACAGAAAGATTTGCTCGCTCTGTTAGCCGTGAGCGCAGAGGTTACGCTCTGTGAGTCACTCAGAGGCCAAACCTTTCCACTTCCAGAGCTGTTAATACAGAATATGACATATAGTGAGATACTAATTCTGGTGTTTTCTCTAACCTTGTTCCCGTTTTGCTCCGGTGTGAAGCTATTGATGTTGGCAGAGTGACCAGGGGCAGAAGTGGGAACCAAAGGACAGCTAAGAGGAGATGCTCGAGGCTTGATCCCAAAACATAGGCATGCTCTGGATTTTCCATGTGTGAATAGTTCCACTGAAATCACTTCTGTTTTCATAAGTGGGATTAACATTTCCACAATTTAGAAGTAATCTGGAATCCATGCACAGTTTAAGGCCAGAACAGATCTTTTGATCATTTGGGCTGAACCTCTGTGAAGCTTTGAACGTGGTATTCCACAATACCCATGGACTGAGCTTAATAAATCATCTTTTAAGGTAAGGCCCGGAGCAGTACACCCCATTTTTTGACCTGAAGACATAGGGCTTTAGAGGATCCTGTTTTTATTCACTCTTTGTTCCAGTAGTTGGTCAAACTCACTGAAAGAATATGTCGGTGTAATTTTTGTTTTCTATGTCAACCATCTCCTTCTAGCGTTTCAGCTCCCAGTATAGTCATGTGTAGGGGAATGATAATCACCACAGCATAAGTTGCAAGAGAGATGACTGCTAGACAGGGTTTTCTTATGCTTAGATGCAGGTGAGCTGGTTTCTGCTTCCATCTTTCACTAATTAATGGCCTCTCTCATGGACTCTTCTTTGATTATCCCAAGGAAAATGGAATTACAGTGTTTGTCCACTTTCTGTAGCCTGAGACCCTCAATGAAAGATGCTGCATGGTTAAAAAGTACAGATGTTGTTATACTTTCATTATATAGTTAATATTTTAAACATAGACTAAATGTGTGTTTATACACCTATTTCCAATGTGACCTTCATTTCTGTTACAAAATCCAACTTTCTGTAAAATTTTCTGGGGAAAAACATTCAGAAGGCAGTAGAAAAAGCAGCTAGCAGTAGTTGTTCTAGATGTGCCACCCTTGGTAGGGGTAAGTATGGGGAAATTGTTGGATTTAGGGGTGGCAGAAGCCTCAGACTTGGAAAAAGACAGCGTGAGAGAATACAGAGAGGGCACACACAGCACTTTGATCCAGGGCTGAGTTCATCAGGAATGAGTGAAAATGCTGAATTTAAGGATGAACTGGGAAAGAAAGGAAAAGATATCCACTTTTATTTGTTCAAGATACATAAAGTGAGTGCTTTATCTTTCTTATGCCCACCTTCCCAGTGCACACCCCTTGGAGATACTGGAAATGTTGGTCTTGCCATCCCATTCCCAATAGCTCCTGAGAGCCAAGGGGGATGCTCCTGGCAGCACCTGCAGTGGTCAGAAGGGGATGCAGGCACTCCCAGAGGAGACCTTCTTCATAACTGTCGGAGATAAAGGGGTGCTGATGAGATGAAATAAAACTCAAGTAGATTTAAACAACCAGGGAAAGAAGTCCTCTTTGTCCTAATTTGTCCTAATTCGCTGGCATGACCTTCTGGTGCAATATATCTGCTGGTTTTCAAGCCTTGCACAGACTCTTAGAGAGCTCAGGAAACTGCTTATATGTATTTTCTACATGCCCATTTTACAAAACTGTCCTAAAATTTCAGTAAACTTCTTGACTCAGTTAAACCAATGTACTTCTTGTAACCACAATTAGGCCTGCAGCCAAGACTTACACAGTTCCATTTGATCTCTCTCTAAATTAATAGTTCAGAGTTGACTGTGAAGATTTTGACTAGACCTTAATTTTTCACATCCAAAAAAGCAGTAATATTGAATATAATGTACCAAAACAAACATAGTGAAGCCAAATCATCTCATTTTTCTTTAGAGGTAATTTTGAAGTTCAGTGCAACTCTTTTTGTATATGATTTGGTTACTTACAAAAGATTAAGAAATCTAATCTTTCTGTTAAATTAGATGAAAATATTGTTGGGAGTTAATGAGACTGACCATAAAGCTACCTCGAGACGGCTGATTTCACCAACTGGTAATGAAGGCTGGATTTTCCTGGTGCCAACAGCCAAGACGCCTCTCGAGGTGGCCATTTCTGGACTTCCAGCAAATTGCTTATTGCCCCAGTACAGCTCTGCTGGGGCTGCGTAGGTGGTAGTGGTGAAAGGTGGAGGTTCCCAGGCTCTTTTTAACCAGCTAATTTGAATCCCAGTGATAATCTAGTGAATAATTCACTATTATCCACTATAATAATCCACTGTTTGCATGCAGCGGGCTCTGGTTCTGCTGGCCTGTGGCAGGAGCTGGGGGTGGGCAGGGGCTGTCTGGAGGCAAATGCCCAGGCACTGGGGAGTAAAACCTCAGCACTAAAGGTAACCAAATGCGATGGTTGGGAAGCCTTGCCCATGGCCCTGAAAGTTTCACAGCAGAAAACCCAAGGAGGTTTTGTTGAGCAGTTGGAGGTTTCTTTCTCTCTCCCTCTCTTGGTCTGTGTTAAAATGTCTCCTCTATTGCAAGCCCAGTTGCTGTCACACTAACCTTGCTTTTCAGCGTGTTTTGCCCTTCCAGCTTCTCCTGTTTGCCTGGGGAAAAACTGATTCCTCTCAGTTTTTGCTGTCGTAACGCCTGATGTTTTCTTTCCAGTTGCCGGATTCATTATAAGGATATGTACAATTTGTTACGTGTAATTGCTCCACCCCTGGGCTTAGGAAAGAAGTGCCCTCATAGGGTGGCATACAAGGTTTGGAACTTCAGAGACTCCCTCCAGCATTTTCTGTTCCGATTTTGTTTCTTTTTACCCTTGCCCTCAAGTGCAAATGGTCCAGAAAAGAAACTGTGCCATAACCAACCCCTTGCCTGAAAAAGGAATGATTGAGTGACTGCCTCCTGCATCCCTCGATGCATCCCTTCTCTGTTACTCCCACACCCCAGCTGGCTGGAGACAGGCAGCTTTATGAGACAGCAAACCCTCCAGCGCCCACCATGCTGGGCTTGGTGGGAAGTGTTGGGGAAAGGCGGCGCGGCATTCGAGCACTATCTCTCCATATAGACACACCGGGGAGAAATGTCAACCCAAGATTTCTAGGGAGCAGCAAGTCTGTTTTGTTTGGGCTTCATCGCATCATTGCTCCAGCTGAATGACCAATGTTTGAACTCTTCCCTTTCCTGAGCTGAAAAGACATTTGATGTAGGTGGTTAACTGGGCAGCAGTGGGATGGTTACCCAGGCTGGGGAGAGATGAAGGGATTGCCTTGGGAGCAAAATTACAGGTTTCAGATCATGATCTATGTTGGACATCCAGTGAAACCTCCTCCCTCATGGCACAGGAAAAGTATCCCATGCTTGGGAGCCGAGGTGGGGAATTGAGGACAGATCTTGCCAGGAAACCAGCACAGGATGGCACTGGGCTTCAGTGGGGTCCCAGTTACAGGTAGGGATTTTCTTGCAGCCAGTGCATGGAGAGGAGGAGATGAAGGAGGGAGAAGTAGAAGCAGCCACCATGGAGCTTGCCATGGCTTTTCTTTCACTCCAGCCCAGGTGTTTTTGACACCTGATGGGGATTAAGAATTAAAAAGTGTTACAGAGAAGGCAGATACCTCTAGCCAGGGAGCTGGGGCAGAAGAGAGCACCCAGGGGGAAGCTATTGGCTCTAATTATGATTTGTGTCTCTCAGCAGCCTTTAAATTAGCTCAGGGCTATAAAGCCTGGGTGGCATTTTAACTGCATTAGTTACCAAGGACAGGAATAGCTAGTTTTGTCTCAGTAAGTGCTTGCTTCCACCCCCTCCTGCATCAGTGCTTTACATAGGAACTGAGATCCATGTCAGGGCAGGGGACTAGTGTGCAGTGCAGGTTTCACTAGCTGTCCTGACGCAGAAAAGGCTCTCATCTGGCTGCTTAGGTCTTGATTTCCCTCCTAGGATAGTGGAGATGACAATATTGCCCTTCTTTTTCAGAGGGTAAACATTAATTAATAACATCTTGCAATATACTTAGGTCTCCTCAGATGACAGCAGCACAGATTTGCACGGTGTAATAAGCAGGCAGCTCACTCAGAAAACAAAATGAGATTGTCACAGTCATGTTCCCAGTTTCAGTAGTCAGAAAAAAGGTGAAGCAGGATTGTTCCTTGCTGTTTCTGCCCCCCTCGTTTTACAGGGCAGGATTTTATTTGTGCTGAAGGTAGATGCCATCAGTAGTGGGCTGGCCTAAGGGCCTTCTCCCAGATCTCTGCAATTCCCAGTTCCCTCTAACACAGGACAGCCAGCTGCCCTCAGAGACAACCGGTTGACATTGGCTTGATGAAAGAGGGACCTCACCAAACGTAAGGGAGAAACAGGTCCCGGTTCCACCACCTTCCTCCAAATTTAGTGCTGAGCTTTGGTTTTGCTAAACTCAAATTCAGGCTGGCTGGGGCTTGCAGAGTTGCTTGGAGTTGGAGCAGTCCCAGTCCATCCTCTGAGCAATCGCACCAGGATTGGGGGTTAGCTTCTCTCCTAGCCCACAGGCTAACCTGGGAACCAAGCTCTTATTCACTGATGAAAAGCTGTATATTTTCTCTAAGCCCGTCTCTCCCTGTCCCATAACTCTGCCTACCAGCTCTCCCCAGCATGGTGAACACTGACTGGTCTGGGAGGGGGCAAGCACCCCCCCAGCCCTGCAAAGCGCCAGCCAACCCCAGCCCCCCGCACCCTCTGCACGGAGGAGCCATCAATGAGCCATCAATCATTCCCGAGTTGCAGCTCTGCAGCCGGGAGGAGACGTTGGGCGCTGAAACGCAGCAACGGAAGAAACCTTCTCGTTTACCCACCTCTTTATTTTGGTTTTGTTCTCCTGAGAAATCTGATTAACCGGATCTCTGTTTTCTTGTCTGCTTTCCCTTCTCTCTCCTTTTCCTTTGCTCCGTTGTGTTGCCCTTTTCCCCATCCCCTGCCCCCTTTTTATTTTGTTTTGTTTTGTTTTTTATTGTCTGGTTTGATTTCTGTGTCTTTTTGCTTTTGCCGCCCTCCCTTCGCCTGCAAGTGGGCGCATCAGTTACACAGACATGTATGAGATGCTGAGACACATGTCCCCACCTCTAGGCCTCGGGAAGAAATGCCCTGCTCGCATTGCCTATAAGGTAGATCCATCCCCTTAGAAACTCCTGCCAAACCACCCGCTTTTTGTGCCGGGGCTGAAGCGGGTGCTGGTTTTCTGTGACATTACTGTTGTTCTCCTGGACTTTTCTGGTGCTTTCCAAGCAGACTCAATTTTGGATCTTCTGCTTTTTTTTTTTTCTCTTCATAATCTTTTTTTTTGGTCTTTGAAACTCTGGCACATTGGTTTGTCTTTCTAACCATGTCTCCACTATCTCTATCAGTGTTTCTCTCTCTCCTCTCTCATTCTGCTTCCATTTAGGCTAATTTGGGGAGGGAGCGTGCTAACGAGCAAATTACCCCACCAGTATGATCCCCATTTATCTTCCTGCAGCTCTTTGACTATCCAGTCTCACTAGCCCTTCAGTAGTACGCTGGTTTTCCCTCCTCTCTTAATTAGATTGGAGTAATTAGAGTAGGCAGTGCTGTAGGAGTTAGCAAGCTATTAAACAGAGGCAACACCAGAAGGGCTCCTTAAACACCCTCATGAAAGAAATTATGTTAACAGAAAACATTTAAGACAGTGAGATGAAGAATTCACTCAAACTTATTGGTTATTCTGAAAAACTTTTTAATTGAGCCACAAAAATGCATTATCCCCAAAATGCTGCTGCTTTCCAGGCGCTACCTGGATAAATGCAGTGGAAACTGCGATGGAGCCAGAGCTGAAGGGATGGAGCAGATCCTGGCACCTCCAGGGGCTCACATGGCGCTTGGAGATTTGTGTTTGCAGGGGTGATTTCTTGGAAGCTTTTTACACCGAACCTCACAGTTTTAGAGGGAGAGGTTTGTCAAAAGCATTGAGCATTGGTGTTACTGAGCATTCACCAAACTCAACAGGTTTTTTTGATCCTTTCAGCTACCACCAAGCCTAAATTACTGCACCGAATTGTGCTTGGTGCAATGGCTCCAGATCACAGCAGCCTCTCCAATGGTGGTGTGGTGGTTTTTTCTTCTTGTTGTTTTTTTGGAGGTTTTTTGTTTTGTTTTCACTGAAGCCAAATGACAGCAAGATTTTGCAAAGAAATTTAAGCTAAACCCAGACCTAGGCTTGCCTTTGAGCAGGGCACTTGGAAGCAAGAAGAGATTCAGATGCAGCTTTTTACATGATCTTCCCTCACTGTGTTAAGATTTAAAATAAAAATTAAAAGAAAATTACATGTAACCTTAAAGCTAGCTAGTTAGTATCTTTTCTGTATTCCTTTTGATTTGTTTCTGACCACTATGGTAGCTGCTTAAAAAAAGTATCTCTATCATGAGCAATTCATACCCACCGTTCCATAACTAAGCTTGAGAAACCCAGCTTCCTCCAAATGCCAGGACTGAGCTATTCCAGATAGATGGGTAAAGAGATAAAAGTATAGAGATACCAATTATACACAGAAAACCCACACTTTTAGAGTAATCAATGGCTCCTTTTAGCACCTGTGTGTTTCCATTGACTTAAACTGG